ATCTTTTTTTTGTAATTGAATAGGTAAATGACTTAAATCTATGTTGCAAAAATATTAACTTCCCATCATGTTTACATCATATTTCCCCCAGATCATTTACCTTTTAATTTTTAAAACAATTTAGATGCTATTTAGACTACATTTTCTAGAGAAACAAAACTAGTGAAGCGTATACATATGTATATAAATAAATATTACTGTTGTTGTTAAAGGGCCACTGAGTTGGTCCCTACTCATAGCGACCCAGTATAGGGTTTCCAAGGAGCTGCTGGTGAGTTTGAACTGCTGGCCTTGTGGTTGAATGCTTATCCTGCAGTGCCATACCAGGAAGAAAAAGACTATTGATCCAAAGTGGCTCACACAGTTGTGGAGGCTGGTAAATCCCATATCCATGGGTCAGGTGTCAGGTTGGAGGCTTCTCCTGACCCACCTGGTTGCAGGGATTGGCATACCCAAAATTGGCAGGTCAGATAGCAGGCGCCTGACTCACAGGGATAATTGCATGGTGTGGCCTAGCCTAGTTGACACATGATATTAAGTATCACAGATACTTTCTATTACTATATAATTTAATTAATTTCTCTGATTTTTCTGTTGCTCAATTTTAGTAAGCTCTTTCCATTCCACATATTTAATAAATATTCATGTTTATTTTCTTGTAGTTTTTCTGTAGTTTGATTCCCCACTACTCCCAGCTAGGTTTTAGGTTTTAATTTCCTATTGTGTGGTACTGTAGGATAAGTACTGGACTGCAAACCACAAGTTCAGCTGTTCAAACACACCTGCAGATCCTTGGAAACCCTGTACAGGTTCGCTATGAGTTAGAATCAACTCTTAAGCATTTAAGAAGAGAAGAATTGTAAATTACTAGTCAATTATACCATCATTTGATGAGTTTTAAATATAAACCTACAAATGTTTTTATTTGTCTTCATATTCTTGAATCAATTAAATATTCAGACATTTTGAACGCATTAATTAAAAATATATATATTGTTAGGGATATCATTCTTTCCCATAGCTAGATTTTTAAGCATTTTCAGGACTGAAATAATTCCTAAGTCACATTTTCTTTCACAAAAATTAAAATTTGTTATTTAGCTGATTGTTAAATTTATCACAATAAAACTTTTGTTAGCTCCTGTTAATGTGATTCTTAGTGGGGTATCCTAGTTTAATTATTTTTTTCCAGGATAAAAACTACAATTAGGCAGTGAAACTGCTCAAAGTAAGGAAACCCCTAGGATTTAGGGACCTCCTGGATCTCTTTCAGGTGTGTGAAGGTGCATCATTTGCTTTGTCAAACAGAATGTTGCTCTGTTAAGAGTCATGTTTATTAAAGGACTTAGGTGGAAAATCGAGTTCCTGGTGTGGCGCTGTAAGATAAGCACTAGACCATAAGTTCAATGTGAATCACAAAGTTGGAAGTTCAAACTCACTAGCTACTCCTTGGAAACCCTATACAGGGTTGCTATAAGTCGAAATTGACTTGATGGCACTTAACAACAAAGATAGAAAATAATCTTGTCCTTTTCTTTCCTCCAAAGTTGTTTTTATGTTTTCATGAAAAATGGAGGCAGGTTTGATTAAAAAAAGTCAATCTTTTTTTTTCTGGAATGATATATAAAATGGTTAAAGCAAGATATTTATATTACTGTGTAACTTTTACTTTTGACTTAGGAAGGTTTTTAAACTGCCTTTTAATAGCATATCATTGAAAGTATTATATTAAAAGAGAGAAAAAAGTATCTCTCCTTTAGAAGAGCAAGATCAATTTCTGCTTCCTATCCATGGTGTGGCACTGTGGGATAAGCACTAACCACAAGTTGGTAGTTCAAACCCACCATCCACTCTTGGAAACCTTATACAGGAGTACTGTGAGTCAGAACAGATTAGACAGCACACAACAACACGATGATTATAATTTTTTAAGAAGAAAAATAAAATCAGTAACTTTTTCCTCCTTATGATCTTTCTCTTACCAAGTTGTACTATAGATATGGTAGATATATTTTTTATTTTCAGATTGTGTTTCAAAAATATCTGACCAGCAGATTAAAAAAATTATTAATCATCAGTTATGTTTAACATAGAAACTTCCTTTTTGACCTTTATATTTTCATATAAATTGGAGAGGAAAAAAATTAATGGGAAGAAGAGGAATACATTTTTGAGTCCTTTAAGTTGCATTAAAACAAGTTTTTAAAATACTTTAACTTAATTTTTGTTTGAGAAACTGTTATGATTCAGTATTGCACTGATTTCTTTTTTTTTACTGATTCAAATATATAGTTATTCTTTATAGTTTGTTATTGTTGTTAAATGTTGTCCAGTTGGTTCTGGCTCATAGCCACACTATATAGGGTTTCTGAGGTGAAGCAGCTGGCAGGCTCGAACCATTGACTTTGTGGTTCTTAGTCCATTGCTTATTGTATGGAGCCACCATGCTCCCGTTCTTCACAGGTTAACATCCCTGATACATAGTTTTGTAGCTTCAATTGATAGCATCTTAGAATCACTGTGGACCAGATTGAGGTGCAGTTGTCTTTACATTCGTGACCTTTATCATAGCTGTTTATATCATTGTCTTATAGTTACATGTATTGTTTAAAATGTCACTCTGGTTGTTATATAAAATCTTTCAGTTAACATCTTATGATAAGATTATGAATTAAATCTAAAATATAATTCATACATTTATATTTTTAAAGCTCCAACCTCAAATCATGTAAAATGTGTGTCAGTGCCTTACATAGAAACCCCAGAGGCAACAATAAGATCATTTTTCAAGAAATGAGGAATACCCAGTGCTCTTGATGGCTCAAAGAATGAAATTATGAGAAAAATTTGAACTGACTAAAAAACTTGTCATAGTTAAATTGGCACTAGTTTTCTTTCTTCATGATATTATCTTCATGGTATGTCTTAAAAACCAATGACACTATTATAGTCCAATATATATTTGTATTTTTAAAAAACGAATGGATCTCTTTTTATTTGTTTGAAGACTTTAGACAGCCAACATTAAAGTGAAGACCATTGCTGCTGCTTTTTTTTTTCTTCTAAATTCCTTTAACTTCCCTTATTGTTAGAATAAGGAGTCCTGGTAGTGTAGTGAGTTACGTGTTGGGCTGAAAACCACAAAGTCAGCAGGTGGAATCTACCAGTTGCTCCACAGGAGAAAGAGGAGGCTTTCTGCTCCCATAAAGGTTTACAGCCTCAGAAACCCTGTACAGCATCGCAATGAGTTGGAACTGACTCATAGCACATAACCACCATCATCATTAGAATGCCTTAAAGAATGGCGGCATGATGTTATAGGAAGGATACCTTACCAGCTAATTACTGCTTCACTTGAGTTAAATCCTAAATTCTGTGATTATTGTGATGCTCAAAAGAAATACAAATTAACATCGTAAGCATTACAAATGTACTTTGTTAGTATTGAAAGCTTTAAATTTGATTGACAAACATTTAATAATAATGTTCATTGGAGACAGAATATCATATTCTAGTACTGCTGGCAGGATTGAATATGGAAGGATATTTAACCACTGCTTCAGAATAGTGTGTGTGTGTGTATACACACACACATATATATATATTTTAACTTTATGATCATCATTTAATCATATCAGTGGTTTGAGACATTGTTATGACAAATTTGTGCTTCTGGGTTTAAATCAAAATCGTTATATATAAGAAAGCAGGGAATGAGATAAACCCGTTTTGGAAATATACTTCTTTGCCAGTCATATTTGTCATTTCTTAAATATGGCGAATCAGTCATTTATGCTGGCGTACTGAGAAACTGCTCAGCTTGCTGCAACAGGAGATTATATATAGTCTTTATCACAACAGAAAGGGACTTTGGGAAAAGCATTTAGATGCTAAAATTAACACTGATTTTGCAAATTTGATGATAACTCTAAATGGTTTTTCTAAGTTTCTTTAGAAAAATACTTTTACAACTCTGATTTGTCTTTATTTTACTTCAAAAAAATAAGTGATGAATTTAATACCTTTGTAAACATATACCAAACACATGTTAAATGCTCTTTTGACTTTAAATTTTATGTTATTTGTTCAAATTTCCTGAGGGTAACAAACCTGTTTTATTGTTTTTAGGTTGCCGTTTCAGTGTGTATTTGTATAATAGAACTTTATAAATTTTATTATGTATAATTCATTTTCTAGTCTCATATTTTTGTGCCACATGAAACCTTTTGAATGAGTCAACTTAGTAAAAGGAAAATTCTAAGGAGTTAAAAAAATATTCATTCACAAATGTATTGGGATTATATATATATGAGGCAACTTCAGAAATTTCATGGAAAAATTCCACTATCTGTTAATTATATTTTTCCATGAACTATTTGAAACCCATGCATGTATATGTATGTATATATGTTTACACACATATGCACATACTATTTTTAATTACTATTTCTGCTCTGGTAGCGTAGTGGTTACGAATCAGGCTGCGAAACTTAAGGTCAGCGGTTCGAAACTACCAGTCGCTCCGCGGGAGAAAGATGTGGCTTTCTATTCCCGTAAGGATTTACACCCTCGGAAATCCTGTACAGGGTCGCTATGGGTCAGAACCGACTCGAAGGCACTTAACAACAACAACAATTTCTGCTCTCAAGTATATACTCTTATTCTTAGTTTTCCTCCTGTACTATATGAAATAGATTGCTTCTCGGAGGCTAGACAGAATTTCTGAGACCCCAGACACTAAAATGTCCTTAAGAGTTTATAGCAGTTGGAGGAGAACAGAGGACAGAGAACAGGAGGAAAGCTGTAGTAAGGGCTGTAGTTTAGATACTGTGTCTGCATTTAGCTGATATATTTTAACTTTTCACTATATGATTTATATTTTTGGCATTTATTTTTCATATTGCAGTTCTTATTAAAATTATTATTGGTTGTAATTATGCAAAATACCTATTTCTGTGTATGAGTTAACTTTAATAACTTATTTTATATATGTTCTAAAGCATTGAAAGAGAATAGCTCAGAAGTTGTCCAGCCTTTTTTAATGGGTTGTGGAACCAAAGAACCGAAGATTACTCAGCTGTGTTTGGCAGCCATTCAGAGACTCATGTCCCATGAAGTTGTTTCTGAGGTAATATGAAGATTTTTATCTGAAATGTGTACTATAAAATGGAGTAAGGAATTTTTATGAGGGGAGAATGATATTTACAGTAAGTCAATTTTATAAATAGCAATGTGCTTGAAGGATATGGCTTAACTTAAAAATATTGCATTAAACACTTAAAAATAATAAAGATGAAGTGTGTTTTTTTAGTCATGTTAATCTAAGAAGATACAGTTCATTAATATAGATGATAATAATTTTCATTATTATTGCATTGTTATTTAAATATGAATACTTTTTGAAAAAAAATGGTAAGTAAAATTATTGATTTGTTTCCTAGATCATCTGAATTGATAATTTGTTGTTAATTAACTTTAGTGCTTTGTTTGTATTTAACCTAAGTTGGTAAAACAAAAAAACAAAACCAACCAATTCCTGTGAGTCTGCATCCTGCCTTCAAGTTTAACATCACTTTGATCGTGTACTCCATAAAGTACTATAATCACCCATTGCTCTTGAGTTGATTCCAACTCGTGATGATCTTGTAGAACAGAACTGCTTCATAGGTTTTCTGAGACTAAATCTTTATGGGAGCAGCCTCCACCTTTGTCTTTTTTCTACAGAGAAGCTGGTAGGTTCAAACTGCTAACCTTTTGGTGAGCAGCCCAGTGCTTAATTAACGTACTGTTCTACCAGAGCTCATTTACTTGAGTTTATAAATGTATTGTTAATTTGAGTTGCATTTAACTATTTCTGTAGTATGTTGTAGGTAAAACAATAAATAAGAACCTGGAGTAGATTGTTAATTTCGGTATAGCTATCATTTGTACATATCCAAATGAGATACATTCATATTATTGTAGAAATGAACTTTGATTTTAACTAGATATTTCAGAACTGCTTTCTGCTATTTGAGTGTATGTAAATGGGATATTAGATTTTAGAAAAATTTACTTTTTTTTAAAAGATAATTAATTGGTTGCATCTCTTAAATTGGTCAAGAGGTGTATTTATGAATCATTGTATTTAAAACATGATTTTTGTTATGTTCAAGAAATTAATGTTGTCTCACGTAGACAAGTAATTTTATTTGTTGACAATAATTAAATAATTATTTTACAGACTGCAGCTGGAAATATAATTAACATGCTTTGGCAGCTAATGGAAAATAGTCTTGAAGAACTTAAGCTACTTCAAACAGTTCTTGTTCTTTTAACAACCAATACAGTTGTTCATGACGAGGCACTTTCTAAGGTAGGAAACCTCTTCTTCATAAAAGTACATAGATACTTTAAACAGTATTGAATAAAAATGATCTGAAAGAGAAAAGTCCGATTCTGTTTGAACCAAAAGCTACTTCTTGTAGCTATTGTGATGATTGACATTATACATTAATAACTATTGGTGCCTTATTTTCCCCAGATTAGATTTAAACTAAGGTTAGGGTGCTTAAATCAAGCCCCTAAGGTATATATGATTGGCTTAGTTACCAACAGGAAATAGAAAAAGAGAAAAGTAGCAGAATAACAGGGATCGAGGAAAACAGAAATGAGAAAAGGATTATGTTAGGAGAAGTTAATGTTCTACCCAATTGCCCTGGGTAGTTTAGATTTCCTGTGATATCCCTCTCCCCCTTACAGATAATTTTCACATGGGTATAATATGTAAGTCAGTTTAAATTTACCTGTGACCCTTAAATGGCTGGAAAAGTCTGTTTTCAGCATTTTTACTAGATAAGCTATATGTTCGGTAGCTATTTCTCATTTCCTACTGCTCCCACCCTCTCTGGTAATATATAACAGCTGTTCTATTTATTTCACTCTTTAAAAAAATTTTTAAATTATGCAATAGTTCTAAAGATAAGAAAATAGTAATTAGGAGGAAGAATATTAAATTAATGGATTTTAAAAAAGTTTCTTTGTACTTTGATTACTAGTTCTATTTTAATTTGTTTGAGTTACATCAAATAAAGATAATAGCCATGCTCTTCAGTCTTATGTCACACTAAATGAAAACTCATCTTTTAGGCAATAGTTCTTTGTTTTCGACTACACTTCACAAAAGATAATATTACAAATAATACAGCTGCTGCCACAGTGCGACAAGTTGTTACTGTTGTTTTTGAGAGGATGGTTGCTGAAGATGAACGACACAAAGGTAAAGTAATAAACGTTGTTTCCTTTGGTGGGAGGGTTTTACATACATGATTTTACTTTTATTGATGTCCATCTTTTGTTCTATGAATTTGGGATACTGTAATACTAGAGTATTTATAATACTAGAGTATTTAAAAAATGTATCTGTGGTCACAATATTTTTATTAACATTCACTTTTCTTGAAAATAAGTATCAGTAGTCAAATTTTTCACTGTGTTTCGGGCATTCTTAACTCTTTAGATGATTTGAATGATTTCCTCTGACTTTTGTATCTTGATTTTTCTATATTTTCTCAAGAGCAAAATCAGATGGAATTATAGCTTTGGAATACAAGGGAATTAATCTAACAGTATGCCACAATTAGTTAAAATATTCATAATCACATTTAATAAAAATATGGAAAATTTCCCATATGAATGTTTTATAAATTTGAAACCTCTGTACAATTCCTGGATTGATAGTTTAAACTGTTTCTAAAATAAGTAGTTCTTATTAGAAAACAGTAAATGGGATACTAATCTCTGAAAGCTATTATCATTTAATACATAGGATAAGCACTGGATGCTAAGTACAAGATTGTTGATTCAAACCCACCAGCCAGTCCTTGGAAATCCTGTACAGGGTCGCTGTGAGTCAAAACTGACTTGACAGCACTTATGAACAATAATAAGTCAACTTTTTTTAAAAAAACAGGCTCTCATAATTTACAGATAACACCATGCTAGATGATGTAATTAGTGAATATCTATGAAATTGGCATAGTGATTGTGGTATACAGTTAATTCTAGTATAGATGGTAAAATGATACAATACTGAACCATATGGTAAACTTTGTCTATTTGGTTATTTAAACATATAAAGAGTATGTGAATTTCAAATTCATGAAATAAAGTGACTGGAGATTGGGAATCTGGGGAAATCAGATGTGTAGAGAAAAATAGTAGGCTTACAGTGCCTATAAGATAACAAAGACTGACTTTTATGGCATTTTGTATAAAAATAAATCCTCATTTTTTTTGTTGCTTTGGAGTTTTGAACTTAAAATTAAACTTTATAGTTCTATAAACAACTGTTTATTCTGTGCATAACTTTTAATAGTATCTATGGTTTATTAAGGAGCTCTGGTAGCATAGTGGTTACGAATCAGGCTGCGAACCTTAAGGTCAGCGGTTCGAAATTACCAGCTGCTCCGCGGGAGAAAGATGAGGCTTCCTATTCCCGTAAAGATTTATACCCTCGGAAACTCTGTACAGGGTCACTATGGGTCGGAACCGACTCGATGGCACTTAACAACAACAACAATGGTTTATTAAAGGCCTTTATGAACTCCTAAAACTCATCTTATTTGATTGCAGCTATAGAACAACCAGTGCTGGTCCAAGGAAACAGTAATAGAAGATCTGTCAGTACACTCAAACCTTGTGCTAAAGATGCATATATGCTTTTTCAGGTATTTCTGTTGAGAAAAATATTTTGTATTATAAATGTTTCATGGTAATTTTTTATTTTGAAAATTTATATCTGATTTAATTTTTCTTATTAAAATGAGAAAGGAGAAAAGTTCTAGTCATTTCACATAAACAGCAAGTTCTGCATTTACTATATGGTAGCTAATTAACATGTTTAATTGTTACAGTTCACATGAAGAAAATAGTGAATTAAATCCTGAACTAGAAAGTAAGTGTACAGATAGCTCCTGATTTTCGAAAGTTTGCTTATGCCACTTCACTTTCACAGGACACCTACATTAGGACGTGTTTCACTAACTGGAAAAAATCCTAAGAGAAACTTTGCTTTTATGAAAAAGGGTGAAAAATGAGACTAGTGATCAGCGTTTGTTTTGTATCAGGCTGTTAAAGAGACAGTATGTACTCCTCCAAGAACTACAGTCAGCATCAGTGTCGGTGAGCACTGTGTCTTAGGGTGATTGTAACTTTAGGTATGATTTGATAGGTTACTTTTGGGGTCTGGGAATGCTAAAAAAAAAAATGTTCTTGTGTAAATTCATGTTAATTGTTTCTGTGCACCATTTCAGCTTGTGAAAGGTTTAATAGACGAGTTTCACTTTGAGATGTTGGGGGAAACCTGTATCAGTAGTGACTAGACTCACACATGGGGTTATCATGAGGTGGATCGAAGGTTCCTGAATGGCACAAGTGGTTTACACTCGACTACTAACTGAAAGTTTGGTGGCTTGAAACTGCCCAGCGGTGATGCAAATGACTGGCCTGGTAGTCCACATCTGTAATATTATAGCCACTGAAAATCCTGTGGAGGTCAGTTCTACTCTGGAACACAGGGTTGCCTGAGTAGGAATCAGCTGAACAATTGGTTTTTAGTCACATACAAAATTACTGCTTTAGTAAGGAAAATTTAAATAAACTTCTGCATTTAATATAATTTAATAGACACATATTTGTTTTTTACATTTTTTGTCACAAACATATCTTTTAAGTAAAATAAGATTCATCTGTAAATCTGAAAATTTTATTTATTTGTATTAAAGAGTTATTTTAAATGGGTTTTTATTAAAAGAATGTTGGATTAACCTATTATCTGTACATGCTGTATATTGTTAATGGTTCTAAGATTGTTTGGGCATATGGTGGCTCCATAGGATAAGCACTGGACTGCAAACCACAAGGAAGGTAAGGTGGCTTGAGCCCATCAGCCACTCCATGGGAAAAAGAGAAGGCTTTGCTTTCTGCATCTGCAAAAGATTTAAAAGCCTCAGAAGCCCTATACAGGATCACTATGAGTCAAAACCTCCTCCAAAGCACTTGACAGACAACATAAGATTGCATATAAATTCTTGTATAGAATATATCCCATATGCAATTTGCAAACATTTGAATTACCAATGTTTACTTTCTGAGGAGTCCTGATGTGGCACTGTAGGATAAGCAATGGACTACTAACCTCAAGGTCGGTGGTTCAAACTTATGAGCTGCTCCTAGGAAATTCTGTACAGGGTCGCTCTGAGTCAGAACCTGCTCCACTCAGCAGCACTTAGCTGAGTACAACAACAGAGTTTCTGAGGTGTTAACTACTGTAAAGGAAGAGAGATTTTTTTTTGTTAATTTTGTCAACTCAGAGTTTTGAAAGATATATTTTATTCTAAACCTGAAATTGTTTGTTTTCCTAGGACCTTTGCCAATTGGTTAATGCTGATGCCCCTTACTGGCTGGTAGGCATGACAGAAATGACTCGGACATTTGGCCTTGAATTACTTGAGTCAGTGCTGAATGACTTTCCACAAGTCTTTTTACAAGTAAGACTTTTTGAGTCTCTTGCACCAAAATTAATTTATAATTTCTTCACAGGTTTTTTTGTTTGTTTGTTTAAGAAAGCAACATTTTTTTTAACATTAAATAATGGAAATATTTATAGCCTTTGATTTTAGCTTTACAAAAATTTAGTGTTATAACTTTTAGTGCTTTAGCATTACAAAATTTTAACATTGGAGAGAATCTTAGAGATTATTTTACTAGGCATTTCTCAATCCGTAGATATATGAAGAAACTTTGGTATGTGAGTTAAATTTGGATATTTAAAAGCCTAATAGATACTATTTTACTGATTTTTAATTATATTGTAACTTTGTGATTTGGATAATTTAAATGGCAAAAAGAATTGGCAAATGCTTAAGAAATACAGAGCAATATAAAATATTTCAAAACAAAGTTAATAGGAAAAAAAAAGGCAATTCAAACTTATTTTGTAAGGAAGTCAAGTCCAGAAATAGTTCAGTGACTTACGTAGAGTTCCTCAAGCTCCGCTCTTAGCTCTTTGTTCTGATGATCTTAGGATCATCTATTCCTCCATCTGAAATGACTCCTTTTAGGCCTACCAGGATGATAAAATTAATTGTTAGAATTGGCGTTAGAATCCCGTACATGGCCCCTCCCAATAATTTGGTGGGATTTAAGACTTGAGGAACGTGGTGGTAAGCGCTGGACTGTGAACCACAAAGTGCACAGTTGGAGCTACACTGTGGGAGAAAGATGAGGCTTAATGCTTCCACAAAGATTTAAAGTCTCATAAACCCTATACAGTGTGGCTATGAATTGGAAGTGACTCGACGGTGTTTAACAGCAAGACAACCTTAAATAAAATAGCCATATTGGGTAAATTCTCTAGATATATTGTTGTTGATTCTGACTCATAGTGACCCTATATACAACAGGACAAAACTGCCCAGTTCTGCACCATCCTCACAATTGCGGTGCCACTGTGACAGTCCATCTCATTGGGGGTCTTCCTCTTTTTTTGCTCATCCTCAACTTGTCCAAGCATAATATCGTTCTCCAGGGACTGGTTCCTCTTGATAATATATCTGAAGTTTAAGGCATGAAGTCTTGCCATCCTGGGTTTCTGGCTTTTTTCATGATCTAGCTCCCAATATTCCATTACTTCAGCCATTCTTGTAGCCACACACTCTTTTTTGCTATTCCTTAAGTGCTGTTCCCAGAATCACGGTGAGTTAAGCATTGGGTTGGTAAATGAAAGATGAGGCATTCTGCTTCTGTAGAGTCTGCTTCTGAAAGCCCTATGGAGCTGTTATATTCTGCCCTATAGGGTCCATTTGAATTGGAATCAGTTGGATGACAGTATGTTTTTAAGTGCCCCAAGCCAATTTCTGCCTCAGGAATTTGCAGTTACAGTTTTCTGAGCTAGGAATTCTTTTCTTCTATATGGCTTGTTCCGTTTGTTTTTTGAGCACTTGGTTCAGTCATCAGTATCCCCAACCACTCTGTGTAAATTGGCAACCTTCTCTTCATGCCGGCACCATTACCTTTGTTACCTCTTATTTTTATTTATACCACCTACCACCTCCTGCTATACATGTATTTGTATGTTAGTTTATTTTCTCTCTTTGCCTTCAAGAAGGTCAGCTCTATGGAGTAAAGATTTAGTTCACTGTTGTATAGTGCCTATAATAGTGTGGCATTTGGTAGGTACTTTGTAAATTTGTCAAGTCACTGAATCAGTAAATGAATATGGTTTGAATTTGTTAATGTTTTATTGTGAATTATGTGATAGTTTACATGGGTGATTTGAAATTTTGATAGGTTAGATTGTGTTTTCTGTCTTTGTAGGAAAAGATTTGAAAATATTTTCTCAGACTGTCTGTACTCATACAATTCATACTTTATTCTTCTTTGTATAGTATGGTAGTGGTTCTGAGCTGTGGAGTTGGTTCCGATTCAGCGACCCTATGAGGATTTACACTTTCTGAGGCTGTAAATCCTTACCAGAGCAGAAAGCCTCTTTCTCCTGCTAACCGTGAGATTAGCAGCCCTACTGGTAACCTCTATGCTACCAGAATTCCTTTGTATAGTATAGGGAGTAAAGAAAAAAGAGTTATTCTTTGTAAGATCCTAGACTTTAATCTTGCAAGATTTTCTTCCAAAGAGATAAATGCTAGTTTTAATTTACTCATCAGTCATTCATTCAACCAACCAGTATTTACCAGTCATCTGTAATGTACTGATCTATGGGTTCAGTGCCATGGATTTAGAATTTAAATAAGATTAATAAAATTTCTGCCTTATTTGCTTCTAGGTCTATTGGGGATAAGGATATTAATTAATTGAATGATAAGATGTATAATGAGTTCAGTGAAAGAAACTTATAAATAGTGTTATAGGAATGAATAACATAGACACCAAACCTGGTTGGTATGTGTGGGGTGTGGGTGCAGATGAATCAAGGATATGATTCTTAAGCTTGTATCTGAAGGATGAAGAGTAGTTATGATATAGGTAGAGTAGGAAAAGAATACTTCAGGCAGGAAGTTGCAAGAGCTGTGACCTTGAGAAAGGGCCTGTCTTCTCATAAACTCCAGCATATATTGTTACTGTTTTTGTTCCGACTCTTAACGACCTGTATAGGGTTTCCAAGGAGCAGCTAGTGGGTTTGAACTGCCCATCTTGTGGTTCGCAGTCCATTGCTGATCCTACAGCGTCACACCAGGAGTCCATCCAGCACGTTATTATTGGTTTTGTTGTTAAGTGCTGTCACGTTGGGTCATTGTGAGTTTATGTAGTGTTTCTGAGGAGTATCTGGTGGTTTTCAACTGCCAACCTTCTGGTTCACAGTTCAGTGCTGATCCTACCAGGAGTGTCACACCAGGAGTCCAGGTACACTTAAGTAATTGCTGAGTAAATCAGTGAATTATTGGGATACTTATTACAGGGAAAAATTATTCTGTGGTTTTTTTTTGGACATTTTATGGTAGTTTGGGTGAAAGTTTACAGTTTCGTGCATACATTGTTTCATAGCATTGATCACTACCCCACAGTGTAACAGTCCTCTTCCCACTTCCTCTCTGTTTACTGTTTCCTTATGTCCTTCTTTATTGTCGTTTCTTGTCTTCTAAGATTTGTCCCTGTGCAAATGCTGCCCTTGGGTCTCATCTGGTTGATTGCTGTAAGTAGTGCATTCCTCCCTAGTGTTAATGGTGACCTTATAGATCTGTCTATTGTTTGGCTGAAAGTTGAGCCACCGGGCAAGTCTGGTCTTTTTTATGATTATAGGTTTTCTTCAACATTTTCCCCTCACTGTCCAGGACTTTCTATTGTGATCCCAATCAGAGCAGAAGCCGGATACCATTTAGTTGTTCTAGTCTCAGGGGAGTGGAGGCTAAGGATCATGTGGTCTGTTAATTTTTTAGACTGTTTTCCTTTTGTTTTTGATTTTTCTTAACTATTCTTTGCTCTGGACAGTGAGAGACCAATAGTTGCACCTTAGATGGCCACTCACAAGCTTTAAAGACCCAAGTTATTATTCACCAGAGTAACAAGTAGAACATTGTATTTGTGGACTTTGTTAGGCCAGTTGATCTTGGTGTCTTCTAAGGTTTTGGTCCTGAGTACCCTTAGGCCCAGTGACTCATTCCCTCAGATGTTTGCTTATAGCTAAGAAATTTCAATAATAACTCTGCCTTCTGTGAAGACTATTCCGTTTTATACAGAGCCATTGCAGTGTAGTGAATTACTTATGTAACTTTTCTAGCCATAGTCCTTGTAACTCCCACTAAACAGCTTCTTCCCCTCACTCCAGGCCTGGCTATGAGAAGATGCTGATAGAATTATATGATTCCGTTGTGAATGCTTGTTAACAGGGTTAATTGTGATTGTAAAAACTTGTTAGAGAGCGTGGGTATGAAATAAGTCATCTCATAAGCAGAAACGGATTGTCACTACCAGCAAGAAAGGAAAGCCAGGAGTAGATCACATCCTTTGAACCCCAAGATTCCTGCACATTGAACCTTCTTGACCCAAGAGACAGAGCTGTGACACCACAGGGTTGGCAGAGGAGCAGCAGCAACAGAACCAAAAGCTAGACCATGAGACAGAACAGTGGGCTTCCCAGCCCACAGAGCGAGTAACACTGAGTGTGCAGGAGGTTTGCTTGCAGAGTGAGGTGCTTCCCAGCACTTCACTGAAGAGCTAGATTTGCTGACCCATGGAGCTAGAGTTGTGTGCCTTCAGGATGAGGCTTATAATAGAGTGGAGTGTTGTTGTTGTTGTTGTTGTTTTTAATGTTTTTTTGTGAATTATGTGATAGTTTACATGGGAGAACATTAGTTTTACATTCATCCTATCATATATCGTTTCATTGCCATGATTACAGTCCCCTCCATGCATCATCAACCAACCAAAGGGTATACAATACAAGCCTGCACCCCAGTCATCAGCACACAGCCCCTCTCCCTCTCTGGTTCTAAAGTCCCCAGCTGCTCCATCTCTCCACGTCATCGTCTCTACCTGCATCTTTGGCGTCACTGCTTCTCTGGGTAGGGTCGAGTGGAGTGGTTTTTTTTGGAGCATTTATTAACAGTGCTAAAAGCTTTGTGACATGGACCAAGCAAGGCAGAGGCGCGGCCAAGGACTGAGGGTCAGAGAAAGAAAGGCCTGTCTATGGGCATGACCAAGAACAGGCTGTTCTGAACTGAACGTTTCTAATCCTGAGTTATAATCTGTTAACTTCCCTAGTAAACCCCATAATTGGGAGTAGGATTTGTGAATTCTGTGTGGCCATTGCAATGAGTTATCAAATGCCACAAAGAAAGAGTGCTATGGGAAGGACAGCTGGTGTCACAGTTGTTAAACGTTGGAGCGTGAAGACATGTCTGACTTCTGCCTCATAGATATCAGTATCATGGGCTGATGTTATGCTAAGTCTCCTCTTCCTACCTTATGAAGTCAGAAGAGGTCAGATGTAGCCTCCATGCCCATTTTTATACTCATTTTGAAATGTTTCTGAGATACACAAAATGCTAGTTGTATTTTTGAAACTTGAGCTCAGAAGGAAAGTCTGCTCTAGAGTTAGAAATGTTAATGTCACTTGCAGATAGTTGCTAGTTGAACATAGAGAATATGGTGAAACGTTAAGAGTAGGAAGAGAAGACCTGGAACTACAGAGCTTTGTGAAACTTCAATAATAAATGATTGGCTGTGGAGGATGGTCATGCAGCAGATATTTTGAGCAGAAGGCCAGAAAGCCAGAAACAAATTTGAGAGACTGTTACATAATAATAGGCAAAGAAAGAAAGTTTCAAGATAAACCATGTAATCAGAGTTTTGGTAAAATGAAGACTGAAAAGTCAGTGTTTGCGTTGGCCTTAGAGATCATAGTACTTAGAATAGTTTCAGTGGCATAGAGGTAGTAGTGGTTATTGGTGGTGGAGAAAGCCCAGTGGTGGTGAGTTGAGTATTGAGGGGGAACACTAGATCTAGTAGATCAAGCCCATAATATTTTGTTACTGTTGTTAAAAGTGCCGTTGAGTCAGTTCCAGCTCATAGTGACCCTTGACCCTGCATAGGGTTTCTGAGGACCGGCTCATGAGTCTAAACTGCTGACCTGTGGTTCAAATCAACCCTGCAGTTCAGTGCATTAACCCAGCAACACACCAAGACTCCCATAATAGATCTATAATGTTTATGTATTAGCAAATAAACAAAATAATTACTTTATAAAATAGGAAAATGGACTGTATACTTTTCATTTTGTTGAAGAAACTGTATATAGGAGAATAAAATTGGAAATCATGTAACTCTTATGATGCTATTTTATGGGGAAAGAATTAAGTACCATTCAATGACTCCATATGGTAAACACTGGACTGTGAGCCTCAAGCTCCAAGGTTCGAGCCTGCCAGCCGCTCAACAAGAGAAAGATGAGGCTTTCTGCTCCTTTGAAGATCTAAAGCCTTAGAAACCCTGTATAGGGTTGCTATGAATCTGAACTGACTCAGTGGCACTTAGCAACATTAAATGCTTATGAAGGTCTGGAAATATGTATATCTTTTTTTTTTCTTTCTTAAATGTTTTATTGTGAATTATGTGATAGTTTACATGTGTATATCTTATAATTAATAATGACTCACTTATTTCTAGGAAGTAGGATTAGACAAGACTATTTTCATTTTTTTCCTGTTTTTGAATTTTTTAAATGACTATTTTAAAAAGATTTGTATGTTAAGCGTTTATATTTTAAGCTTTTGTGATTTTGAGCAAATAAAACTCTCATTTTCCTCTTCTATAAGATTAAAGGATTGGATTGGGTGATTTTTAATATTCTTTCTTCATTCTCAGCTCTAATGAAATTTTGATAATTAAAACATTGACATCAAATACATATTGCAATTAGTCATTAAATGCAGACTAGGCAGTACCCCTGGTAGCATAGTGGATTACAAACTGGGCTGCTAACTGAAATGACAGCAGTTCGAATCTGTCAGTCATTCTGTGGGAGAATGATGAGGCTTTCTACTTCTGTAAAGATTTGTTGTTGTTGTTGTTAAGTGCCATCGAGTCGGGTCCGACCCATAGCGACCCTGTACAGGGTTTCCGAGGGTGTAAATCTTTACGGGAGTAGAAAGCCTCATCTTTCTCCCGCGGAGCGGCTGGTAGTTTCGAACCGCTGACCTTAAGGCTCGCAGCCCGATTCGTAACCACTACGCTACCAGAGCAGCCTCGCAAATCTTCTTACAGGGTTGCTGTGATTTGGAACTGCCTCAGTGGCACACAACCACCATCAACCCAGGCCTTACATTGTTTGTAAAGTGGTACTACTTTTGACTAACATAAGCAGGGAATTAACAGATTAAGAATGACTTTTTATGTAATGTGCCATGACCTTAAGTAGAATTTAAAAACGCTGCAAAATGATCCAAATTTGGAAAATAATGATGTTTGTCATTTTTAAATCAGTTCATTGTGTTCTGTATAAGCAATACAAGTAGAACAAAACTTAGAAGTTAGTCATTAAATCTTTTCTGCATGAATGGAATTGTTACTTTTGTAAAACTAAAATCAGTGAATTATACAAGGGGGCTTCAAAATATTCTTAGAAAAATTGAATTAAAAGATAATGAAATTTCTCCACAAATTCTTTGAAGACCCCTCATGTAACTGATTCTAGTTTACATAATTGTTTCCTTTCTTTAGCCACCTAATTTAAATGCTTTTCTGTTTGAATTTATTTTCTTTCCTCAATTGTTTATGCTTATAATTGTCAATTACTAGTAATACACACCAATTATTCAATTCCAAAATGACTTAATTAAGTATTTCTTTTAAACTTCTTGAAATATTATCATTTTGATCTTGCACTCTCAAAGAACATTAATTTCAGAATTGTGCTTAAACTGTAAAATTAAAAGTAATACAAACTTAGAAAGCTAAATTATTAATACTGATTAAGATTTATTTTCTCGGAGACTAGTTTAGAAATATTACATGCAAACAAATGTACTTCTTTTTTTCTTTTTAATTGAATTCCTTTTTCTTTTCTTTGCTAGCACCAAGAATTTAGTTTCCTCCTCAAAGAAAGGGTATGTCCTCTAGTGATAAAGCTGTTTTCTCCAAATATAAAGTTCAGACAAGGTTCCAGTACTTCATCTTCCCCAGCACCAGTTGAAAAACCATATTTTCCTATCTGCATGCGTTTGCTGAGAGTAGTATCTGTTCTAATTAAGCAGTTTTACAGCCTTTTGGTAAGTGCTAATATCCATACATGTGTGTGTATAATTACATGTGGTACTCTTATTAGAAGATGTTTTATTGTAATGTGTTTAACTTTCTTAATTTATTTTTAAAGAATTTTATGGAGTACCAACAGATATTCTCTTAGGTACTTTAAAGGTTCATTCTGTATTTTCTTTAATTATGTTTATGTTTATATAATACTTTTAATGTATGTCAAGGACAGTCATGACCTGCTGACTGAAGGTAGCATAGACTTTATGATTGTGGAAATTTAGCTTCATGCTTAATTGTCTGTTTATCATCTGAAGGATAATTAGGATTTTAGTGTATTTAATTTATTCTGGAATCATTTATACAACTTCATGTATTCTGCAGTTTAAATCAAAACAGTAAAAGATTTTTGTAAGCTAGGTTTAAAAATAAAATATTTTGACTTGCAGCCTAATGCTGTATTTATTCTTTTATATAAATTTATGGATTTAAAAGATGTGATATTTCTGGTAATAATTAGTTTAATGTAATTATTTATTGTTGGACATTTAAATAATATATCTTTGAGAAAAAAAATAACATTTCTTTTTAATTTCATTTAAGGCAACTTCAACATTGCACATAATTTCTTAGTATTGATATATGTTTAATGAGCAAATATAGCTGGTTACTCACCAATTTGAATAGTGGCTATATTAAATATTTGTGATAACCAACAAACTATGATTAGTATAGATATTTTATATTAAATTTTACAGAGAGATTTTAAAATAAAGTTTATCTTTGATTATGTTTATACTTGTCACAGATTTTATTTTCATAGTACACATCCATTTATACACAGCATTTGGAAATAATCTTTTAGCTATAATCATTTATGGCTACACAAGATATGTCTTAAGCCTTTACATATGCATTGATGTACTTGGTACATTGTTTATAAATACATATCGGAAATCAAGGAGTCCTGGTGTGGCACTGTGAAGCCATTTGATCTGCAAGGTCGGCAGTTCAAGCTCACCAGCTGCTCCTTGGAAACCCTATACAGGGTCACTATGGGTTGGAAACGACTCGGCAGCACTTAACAACAACAACAACAACAACATTGGAAATCAAATTTTGTCAAAATATGTTGCTATTTAGTGATGCTGTAAACTATCAAATTTTGATACCAAGGGATTTTAATGTTGGCTTGGACTTTTTTCTACCACATACGTATATTACGAATGAATATTTAGGCGTATAAGTTCTTGACTTTACTTTAGTACATAACCCCTTCTTTTTGACTTTTTTTTTTTTTTTT